CCTTCTTCTTCTTTCTTTACTTCGGCTATCTCCTACGGGAGGACGCTCCGGCTTCATGAAAGTCTCGAGTCATCGCTGCCCAGGCGCGGCAATTTGTAAGAGAGTTCATGAAGTTTCATGGGAATTTGGTACGAGTGATGTCCCCAGCATCGCTCGGCCTTTTGTTTAAGAGTGCAGCTCTAGCCTTTACACAACCAAGTGTGACCTACAAGGCAGTAGGAGTGGAGTAAGGAGTCCACTATCCATTGGCAGCCAGCCGGTGACCGGAGTTCGGTTCATACGCCTTTTTGAATGGGGCCAGACATCCAGGACATCCAACAAGCCCTTTGTCCATACGTCTGCCGGTGAGCTCCAGTGAGCTTCATACGGCAGTCGTTGGAGGTTTGGAATCAGGGTTTAGCCATCTCCCCTAGACTGTCATCCAATGGACAGTCAACCCGGTGGAGAGCGCCGAGCTTGCGCTTTCGCCCTCTCACTTTGGTGAGAAACACCACCGCCACGTGAAGGCAGTGAGTAGGACTTCCTCAGGAGAGGCTATGTAAGACGCCCGGTCATATTTTTTTTTTATTTACAGCTTGATTCCACACTGTATTTCTGGTACAAGTATGGAATTTTCAGCATGGATATCGGTAGCCCAAAATTTGCAGGCCGACCATAGATATCAGGTGTGCGTCGGCGTGGGCTCTAGCCCCGGACCATGTGCATGGTCGTCGAGAGTCCTAACCACTGTGCCACCGACGCACATTTCAAGAGGTGTGCGGAGGGGTGGCCAACCCGCAGCGCAAGACACCCATCCCCGAACATCCTGAGGCTTTGGAGGCTTCCTTAATAACCAGGGTAATTTGTCGTGTTATTGCGATATCTAAGCCCAACTACCATTTCAAGAGGTAGCAGATGTTGGGTAGGTACATTCAAGTGATGAGTCTCAGCTAAGAAGAAATGCACCAAACTTGACCATATAATGTCAAATTTATAAGATTTAATTTCGATAATTTTTGTATTCTCCATTAAACATGACAGCATACTTTTATATTTGCAATTAATGGTGTTCTCCGAGCTGGTTGGTTTAGTTGCAGAGCTTTCGTCGTCTTTCTGAACGGCATCTTCAGCGCAGTATTTAGCATTAAAAGTTAAATGTTTCAAACATCTCCATGAATGATGATACCAATGCGACTCCTGGTGACCAACCATCTTCACATATGTATTGACCAGAAAGTTTAAAATCCCAATCAATAGAAAACGGTCAATACATATGTGAAGATGGTTGGTCACCAGGAGTCGCAATTGTATCCTCATTCATGGAGATGTTTAAATCATTTAACTTTATACTAAATACTGCGCTGAAGATGCTGTCCAGAAAGACGACGAAAGCTCCGCAACTAAATCAACCAGCTCAGAGAACACTATTAATTGCAAATCATCCACCTGAGTTACAAATCTTTTCTATACTTTGATATTACCTAACTAACCGCGTACGTTTAATAATGAGACGGGCCCCGGTGACTGAATGGTTTGCGAGCTTGTCTTGTAACCGGAAAATCGTGGGTTTGAACCCTAATGACGGTGAGTGCGTATTGCCAATGAATCCCAAAATAGGATGAAACAGCTGTGCAGTACACCCTGGCTAGTTCTCTCTAAGTGATACCAATCCGTGGTCAAACGCGTAAAAATGAAACTACTCATAGAAGCTCAGCAAGTCAAGTTGCCACATTCCATATAGCATACACAAAGACAGAAAAAAGAGAGAGAGAGGAAAAAGAGGATTCAAAAGGATCATAATAAGAAGGAAATTTAAGGAGAAGCAATAGTAACACGGAAGATTATTAGGGTTTTAAAAATTCAGGGAATTCTCAAAAAGTAAATGCAAATACACCCCTGCCAACGATTGAGAGCCGTATTATCAGCGGTCTGAAGTCATTAGTTCTTAGAATCCAGAAGACGCCAGTCAGGTAGTATACACCCCCCTAAATTGCTTAGACTAACTTTCAACGATTTCATGAACTGATTCTATGTTTCTGTTTAACCACCATAAGCTCTTTTCCAACTCACTCTTATGTCATTTAATTCAATTTTTGGATTTTTCTATCGATTGATTGGACCGAAGTAAGCGGTCTCGGGTTGATATGTCGGCTTCTTGTGTAGATGCTTCGACGATGTCTCAGCACGAGTTCTCGTGCCCTAAGTAGTCTAGTGGATAACGTTTTTGGGTTTGAAACTATGGGCACTGGGTTTGAGCCTCGGTTGAAAAATCATCACTCACCGTGGAATACATGTATATCCACTGGCTAACGAGTCCCAAATAGGATGAAATGTGCATCCTGGATTCCCTTGCTAGTCACTATCCACCAAGTAACTTCTAATCTTATGTCAGTTATCAACTCCCGCCAAGGAAGGCAGTGGCTAGGGATGTGTAGCGATCGATTTCAATTGATTTAACTTCACAACTGCGTCAGTTGATTTTTCCTCTTCACCCAGCACACTACCAACGCCTAACCTCAGCATTAATTACCCTGTTTTACGACGTGACACGTGAGATAGGACGCGGAAACCTATAAACAAAGACAGCTAGCCTCTCCTTTCATGTCTTCCAAAGGATTACAGAGTGGACTGTTACTCAGGGAACAAGTCCTTTGATCGATAGCCAACGGGATATCACATCTAAGTCAGAGAGGATGTATGTTAGTCAATGACACACGAGCCACTTGTATCCCTGCTGAGATCTCATCATAAGTCAGTCCATCGGGGTGAAGTGGGAATCAGTGTCTTCCTGTCCCGAAGCATCACGTGACTTGTGGTGGGAGCATATCGTACGCCAGACATTCAAAGTTTGCTGTTGAAGGCGTTCAGAAGACTTTGCATTCTATCAGCGTCTTCCTTAAGGAGTACTTCATCATCCGCATACTCCAAGTCAACATAACTCTTCCTCAGTAACAAGTCAGTCCTCAAGTCGGTGAAGTCAGTTAGGGTTAAGTCTATAAGTACATATACGATGAAGTGAAATAAAAATGGAGACAGAAAGTATCCTTGATGGAAACCACTTGCTGTTGTCACCTGACTGCATGAATTCAAGTACAGCGCCTTGATTAGCGTGATTTTCCTTCTAAGCACGTTCTAAACTGCCAGACATTGTCACAGTACCACTCGGTCAGTGGAGCCGAATGCCACCTTCAGGTCCAGAAACATGGCAATTGTTGGACGCTAGTAAATATGCGTATATGGCATAGTTTATCCAAGGATGAAGATATGATCAATACACATTCTTTCTAGTCTCATGACTGTCTCATTTTTCCTAAGTTTGTCATCTAACACAGCTAATTCGTAGATAAAATCAAAGATATTAATATCAAGGACAAAAATATGACATCGTTGGACATAAAATCTTTATTTACAAATGCATCTCTAGTAGAAACAGTTAAATGCATATGTGGAAAGTGTATAACCAGTCAATAAATATTGGTATCCCAACGGAAATCCTAAAAGAATTGTTATCGAGATGTACAATGAATATATAATCTTGAAATTTGACGACATACTTTATAGGAAAGAAGACAAGGTGACGATGGGCTCCCTATCGGGTAACATTTTGACAGATTTCTTTCTAAGTAAACTAGAAAAAGGACCTATGAACAAACTTATTAAAAAATTTTCATTTTATTACCAGTATATGAATACCACTCTTATTCTTTGTGATAATAATTCGGAGGGGAACACTTTAATAACTGAATTTAATGATGTACATTCTGCTTTGAAATTCATATGCGAAGAGGAATACAAAAAACAGAATTGCCTTCCTGGATGTCCTTCTTACAAGAAAACCAGATGGTAGCATAGAAAGAAAATTTGCATAGGAAAAGCAAATGGACAGGACAGTATACACATAGCTTCGTTCCTCTTCAATACAAAAGAAATTTATTCAGACACCTCAGCCACACGGGATTAGAGCTGTATGCTCAGAAGAAATAATTGAAGATGAATTAAGGATTGTATATTATACCTTGATTGAAAATAGCTATCACGACAAATTTATCAAGAAACACATGACAAAGAAATCTGAAAAGGACTACTCACTATCGGTAGGTAACAAGTATTGGTATATACGACTGCAATTTAAGGGTGATATACCTAGCAAAATATTTAAGAAGAACTTGAGAAAATCAGTTCCAAGAACTTTTAATGCTGCTAAGCCACAAGTTCTTTTTTCTGCACGACCGATAGTGATTCCTCAATCAAATGATGAAGTACCTAGACTAGCTAACCACTTCAAGTTGTATCTACCAATTCATCGGTGGCACAGTGGTTAGGATTCTCGCCGACCATGCACATGGTCCGGGGTTCGAGCCCACGCCGGCGCACACCTGATATCTATGGTCGGCCTGCAAAATTTGGGCTACCGATATCCATGCTGAAAATTCCATACTTGTACGAAAAATACAGTATGGAATCAAGCTGTAAATCAAAAATAAAAATAAAAAAATAAAATATAAAAATAAAATCTGTGCTTGTGAATCGAGTTATATTGTCCGTCGCTCTAGGAACTTCATTTTTCCTGCTCACTCAGGGACATCTCCCAGTATGGCTAAGTAAATGTGAAGTAAAAGCCATTAACAGTTCAATATTAGACCATCTGTTGCAAACTGGTCACAGAGCCAGCCAGTATTGGTGAATCCTTCTCTATCATCATCTACCGGGTACCAAATAAATTGCCAAAAAACATTGAGGTATCATATGCTCCAAACAGCACAGGCTATCGCAATTCGCATGCAACATTACTGATTCAACGTTATTTAAACAGCAACATTAATATTGTTCGTAGCACTAATTCCTTCACTATTATAAAATGGATGTATAACTGTAGAGCCTAATGAAGAGTAGCTTATAAAGAAGAGTATTCTGTGTTCAGTAACCAATCTTTTGAAAAAGAGATTCGTAAAAGCAGCTTTTTTCAAAACTAAAAAAAACAAGGACAAGAATAACAACTAAATCTTAAACTGAATTCTAACCTGCTCTGTATCATTTGGCTAATAGAATTATTACACATGTACAGCGGATCAGATGATAAACACATGTACAGTACTGTCCAATTGCGTAGTTCACGTTCATTAGCAGAAACAGGTCCAATAATACCCTGTTTAATTCATTAATTAATACAGAATAAAAGGGAATAAAATAGAATTCGGTTAAGTAGATTAACCATAGATATTATTACATCTTTAACAAACAGATTGTTGTGTCTATTTTTAGAGGTGATTGTTTTTCACAAATGAGAACAACAACATCAGATTTTAGAAAAAAAACAGATGGGAGAGGAAAACAGTTTCATGTGTGCATGATTTGTCCACGAAAATGAAGAAATACATTGAATATTTAAGATACTTTTAATATTCCTCGAAAATAACACACATATTCTTCACATATATGAAAGGAAGGAAAATGTTTTACTGCTTGCCTGGACACTAAGCAGTAACTAGTGTGATTTGTCTAGTCAGTCAGGTTTGCAATGTGGTCACCATGCTACTAGGTAGCTCACCATCCCGGTATCCTCAAATCAATGTGCACCGTGATGGCGAGCCACCTAGTAGTATGGTGGCCACATTGCAAATCTGACTAACTGATAGATAGAATTCAGTCTGCATCAAACACCAAGGACTAGACACACATCACACTAGTTACTGACTAGTGTCCAATCAAAGTATCCGCTACAGTCCTACAAGAGGTCAATCGTGAGTCAGTCCGAATAGCTTACAAGGTAATGTCTCTGAGTGAAGGCGGCACTAGGTGACGCAGGTTCGAATCTCATAAGGAGGGACATGATTTTCTTTGAGGTTGCAGATAAGGTTTGCTGACTGACGTGTGTCAACTAGCACGAAACCTAGGTCAAGGAAGGCTTCTTGTGGTCGATAGTCTCCAACCATCTCATATCCTCAAACATTTACTTCGGTAAGTTGATAAAAAGAACACCTTAAGAAGTAATCACTATCTATCAACGGAAGACGTCAGTCACTTCCTTTACTGATCTAGACAGCCTTGTTTCAACTGCAGGCACGCTGCACGGATGAAGATGTCAAAAATAACCAGCCATAATTGAAAATGATAAGAGAGACCTTCATTATCAATCTGAAATCTTGAAGAACACAATATCTAGTGAAGCGACTGTCTTCAAGAAGGAATTTATTATCAAGCTTTACAATCGTATATACACATGGTTTTTAAAAAATTATATCCAGTGAGGGAATTAGATCAAACGTGTGAATACACGAAATAATAATAATATTAGTATGGAATGCAATTAAAATATTTGCGATTATAACCATAGTTAAATGTCAAATAGCAAAACAATTAATGTCATAAATAGAATAATTCACAAAGTGTATAGATGTTGAAAATGGGTACATAATTATGGGATCAGAAGGCCAATATGAAATGTTGCATAACATAGCGTGGAATTTGATAAGATAGATATTGGATTCAGAATGACAATTTGGACAAGCGGAAACAATTCAGAGTGAGAACAGTAATAATAATAATCGTTTTAATAAGGAAAAGGTACATAGAATAACTAAATAAACAAAATAAATAAATGTCTATCCCTCTACGGCCAAGGGAGAAGTAGGAATTGTACACACTTGTTTTGTGCACAAAGATCTGACTTAAATTCATGAATGCATTGCTAAGGCCAACACTGTCTTTAGAAGTCAATAACGAAGAAAACGTGGTCAACAAGTTGGCATTGACTCGATAGATGTTCTTAAAATCATGATCAGGGTGGGCAGAGTGATAGAAGTCGATCAAGTGTTCTAGAATAGACTTTCAATAATTATTTTTCTTTCTCCCTTTAAAAAGTCTGCTAGAAAATGTTCTCGTATCTGTGTGGAAACCTGAATTCTCTGGCTATGGCCAATGTACCGTGCTCTACAAGAGAAGGTGAACTGTTAGATACACATGAAGGCTGCCAGATGGGGGGAGGCTTATCTTTTCCTGAGATGGAGAACATCTTGAGGCTGGTGAACATCATTTGTAATTTTGCTGCAAAGAACGTCTTACTGACTGCATTAGAGAGATGGTTTTTGAACATATCTAAAGCTTGATCACTTTTGAATTCCAATTTCACGAATAAGGTTTTCTTTGGAACTGAGTCAGTGACAAGTTAAGACTACTTATCTTTCATGTAACTGTCAATAAGACGGTTCAAGTAACCGTTTTCCGCGAGCGTAGATTTTAGGAAGCCGAATTCTGAGTCAACGCAATCAGAACTACAAATGTTTCTTGTTCTAAAGCGGAGTGAATAAAATTAGGTTCCTTTTCTTGGAGATAGCCACCCAACTATAAAGATTAGTTTAAAAATTTTCCTTGCCGACTGAGAATAAAGAAAAATATTTGAATTTTTAAAATCAGTGTCAAGTCACTTCTTCTATGTAAGTCATAAACTCGGCCCCATGATGAAAATCGTTTCGAAAAGGCTACTGTAAACTTTTGTCATCAGCTGCCCTCTTATTTGGCTCCATACTTGAGATGCGATAGTCAGCCAAGACGAATTCAAAACACAAGAAACTATGGGAGTGAATCAATCAAGAACTTAGTGTTCGAGAGAAAATACCGAAGAAAATGAAGATGGATTGGATACACGCTGATGAAATCATTGATTGATATCATGCCATCACTCAAGTGGAACTCGAATAGAAAATGAAAAGTTGGGTGAGGTTCCTATAGTGATATGGAGATCTTCCCAGGAGGAGGTGATGGCAGATTACGGTCATTCTTGGGGCAGCTGAAGAGAATTGCAGAGAACAGGGAAAAATGGACGTGTTCTTTTGAAGCCCACTCAGAACTCAGTGAAATAATAATATTATAATAAGCCTATGGAGGAAATGACACATCATCACTCTCTTGTCAACTTCAGACAAATGTTCAAGTTGCAAAGTTGTAGTAGGAATAATTGATGTAGTGAAGTAAGATACCTTGCCCAAAACCAGTTAGATTCTGGGACGACAATTCTTGCATAGACTAGATTGCATCATGCAGCAATCACCATCTAGGAGAACGCAGAATGATATTATTATTATTCGATTGCGTTTCGAGTGGAACATGGAATTGGCTTCAACAACACATTTCCACTTTCTTCGATTCTCTGCCGTCCTCTTCAACTGGATCAGCGATTGACCAAACTCTCTCATCTCGTCTTCACACGATCGCCTTCATGTCTGCTTTCAACCGACGACCCACTCGTCGCTTCCCATTCACCTTCCACTCAAGCGATAGGCTGGCGTGCGATGCTATTCCATGGTCTCCTCAATGTATGCCCGACCAATCCATCTCCATTTCCTCCTACATATTTGCTAAGCGATCGGCTCTTGCTTGTTGGTTTGTTCCCAGCCAGCCAGCCAGAGTTTCTTGTTGCTTATTCTTTCTGGCCATTTAATCTTCAATATGGAGTCAGCAAATGCGGCAGATGTTGGTAAAAGTCTGCAAACCTGTTGGAAATCCTTTTCGTGACATGTAAGTCAAGTTTCTGACCCGTATAGAATGATTGAACTCACACTAGTGTTTGAAATGCATATCCTGTGGAAGATTTTCAGACTGGTTTCAGGTTGTGTTATGAGGGCGTATCCTACCTTGCCTTTCCGATTCTAGCTGGTTGGCTTTGATACCTACATCTGTTACGCTAGACTTCATTTAAAATGATGCTTCCTGGCCAGATAAGTGAAGGAGGCGAACTCTGTTAAATCTTTTCTGTTGATGGTTATTGATGCTGGTTGCTAGTGCTATTGCTGTTAGTTGGTTATCTTTATTACCTTTGTCTTCTCTGTGTTCACCAGGAGTCTTGCTTTCACTGCCTCTTCAGCCACTTTGTTGGTTTTCGCCTGTATGTCATCGAGTTTGTGTGACATTAGACATAAATCATCCATCGCAAAATCCAGTATCTTCCTGTCTTTTCATTTCCCATTTACACTTTGATGCATAATCCAGTGCACCACAATTAAGAATATTATCGTTGAGAATAGGCAGTCTTTTCTTACTCCCGTATGCATTTCGAACGCTTCTGTGATTTTTCTGTTGTGAATCACTTGACACGTGGCATTGTCATATAGCCAGCTATCAAATGAGGTGGACAAAGACTGTGGTGAGAGCAGGCTGCTAGCCAATTGGTTGACATTAATCTGCGTCAATGTCTAGGTCACTAATATGGGCCGTGAGAAAATATGAACAAGGCTGTTTCAACAACCAGTCACAGCAAACTTAAACGTGAGCAAATATGATTCGCAGGTAGATGGTTCCACTTTCCGAGGAACTCAAAAACAACCAATCAGAAGACTGTGTTTGTCTACTTGACTAGGCTATAATAATGTGTGTGAAATTTATATAAATATGGGTTGATTTTCGTAATAAAACGATCTGTTGCCTGGCCCTTGTCTTCTGTTGTTACAAGACTTGAGCTACGCCGCAGTGTTGAAATAACAGAGGGACATACCACAATATAATTTGGAGAATGACTTAGCACTGCAGGATGCTCGAAAATTCACCAATCTCCTTCTACACTTATACGATGATACCATATATCAAGTGAATAACAACATAAAGCTCAGTAAAGCGTTTGCAGTGAAGAGAAGAGTGTCAGACAAAACTGCCAACTACTACAGATCACAGTGCGTCGGTGGCACAGCGGTTAGGACACCCGCCGAAAATGCACATGGTCCGGGGTTCAGTCCCCGGCCGGTGCACTCATTTACCTCGCTAAGTCAGCAGTAAGACTGGTAAAGCAGAAAGGTTGGGCATGAGGCTAGCAACCCTATCCTGTAAAAATTAACACTGATACAGAAACTTCAAGCTTTCAGCTTCGAGTCCCATGTTCCACTGGGAACGTGAAGGAAAAAATATTTAAAAAATCACAGATCATACCCCTGGTCGTGATAGACTGGATCATACAGCTGGTCATTGGAAAACCATCAGATGGACACATGTTACACTATCAAAAAGACTCCATAAAATTTGAACTACAAAGACAACTTATGTCTGATGTCACATAAACTCAAAGATCCATAGGTAAAAGGCAACAAGTTGGCACAAAAAAGGATGGCAGTGAGCAAAGAACTTTAAATGAACAAAGAGAAGACAATGGTAATAAAGACA